CCTTGGAGGCAAGGATTCTGAGGCTCCGTCTAACATACTTTGGACATGTTGTGAGGAGAGACCGGTCCTTGGAGAAGGACATCATGCTTGGGAAGGTGGAGGGACGGCGCAGGAGGGGAAGGCCCTTTATGAGGTGGATTGATTCAGTGACTGGGATAATCGGGATGGGAGTGTCAGAGACAGTGTGATTGGCACAAGACAGAACAGAGTTTAGAGCTGTTGAACATAGGGTCGCTATGAGTTGCAAGCAACTCGATGGCACATAACAACAACAACATCTTGTTGTTAAGTCTCATTAAGTTGGGTATGACTCACAGTGACCTCATAAACAACAGATCTGAACTGTGTCCTATCCTGTGTCATCCTTATCATTTCTAGTATACTTTATTTCATTGCTGCAGCCACTGTGTCACTTCATCTCATTGAAGGTCTTCTTTTCTTTCACTGACCCTCCACCTTTCTAAGCATGATGTCCTTGTCCAAGGAATAGCCTCTCCTGAATCAAAAGACTAATTGCACTGGGGAAGTCTGCTGTCAGTGACCTCTCCAGAGTGCTGAAGAGCAATGATGTCGGCCTGGAGACTAAGGTGTACCTGATCCTAGCCATGGTCTTCACAATTATTTGCTATGCATCAGAGAGCTGGAAAATGACTAAGGATGATAGAAGAAGAATCTATGCTTTTGAGTTGTAGTGCTGGAGCAGAGTATTGAACATATCATGAACTTCCAAGAGAACAAAGAGGTGTCTGTTCTGGAGAGAGTGAAGCTAGGCTGCTCTTTGGAGGCAAGGATTTTGAAGCTCCATCTCACATACTTTGAGAATGTTGCCAGGAAGGACCACTTCTTGGAGATGGACATCATGCTTGGAAAGGTGGAGGGACAGCACAGGAAAGGAAGACTCCAGATGAGATGGATTGACACAATAACTAAGGTAATGGAAGTAGGTGTATAAGAGACAGTGAGATTAGCTCAGGATAGGACAAGGTTCAGAGCTGTTGTACACAGGGTCACTCTAAGTTGCAGGTGATTCGATGGCACATAACAACATGCCCAAGTCTGTGAGACAAGGTTCACAATCGTTATCTCTAAGGAACCCTCTGACTGCACTTTCTCTAAGACATTTCTGTTCCTTTGGCAGTCATCCATACCTATCATTCTTATCCAACAACTCAACTCAAAGGTATCTTTTTTGTGTCATCTTTATTCATTGTCTAAGAGTGGCATCCACTTCTTAACATGTTGCTGCAAATGATGGCAAATGTGTTTCTAAGCACAGATGTCAATTTAAAAAGTGTGTGGCAATGTGTTAAACAACATGCCTCTGGAAACTCTATGAACTTTGATAAGTGACAATAGTTATAGAAAGGCTTCAGGCCTTTTGTTCATAGGGTCGCTATGAGTCATGCTTGACTCAACAGCAATCAACAACAACAGCTCTCAGAAGCACTGCAGGTGATTAAAAAGACTGTAGTATTAATTAAGTGCCCCTTAGTCTATAAGCTGACATCATTGCTCTTCACTACTTTGAAGAGATCTCTGACAGCAGACTTTCCCAGTGCAATATGTCTTTTGAGTTCTTGAATACTGGTACTATTGGTGTTCATGGTGTACTCCTTTGTGGTTCCATCTTATTAACATAACGTATGAAAACCCCTGTTTTCAAGCAAGGTCATATTTACATACATAAGGGTTAGGACTTCAACAACACACGTTTTGGGGGCACATCAATCCCTAACAGGATGACAACCCTTTCCTTTACAGATATCCAGAGGGCATCATGGAGGAATCATCCCTAAACCGGACCTCATCCCGGGGTGGAGTCAACTTTCTGAATGTTGCCCGGACCTACATCCCCAATACCAAGGTGGAATGTCACTACACTCTTCCCCCAGGCACTGTGCCCAGCGCCAGCGACTGGATTGGCATCTTCAAGGTATTCTGGAACACACTTATGGACCATGTATTGGTTGGAATAAGGGTAATGTCGTAATCAAAAAGGATGTCACAGATAACAGGGGCCATCTGAATAAGCAAAGCTAATCTTCTTATTTTAGTTTTGCTTTCCCTGACACGTTGGTGCCTCTCCACTTTCCCTGTCTCTCCTCATTTTTGCCACTGAAACATCATCATGTTTCCTGTCTAATTCTTTAGCCTATTCCACCACCAAAATGTGGTAATCTCGTATCTGTCTCCTTCTCCTTTCTTGGGCTTTTACAGGTAGAGGCTGCCTGTGTTCGGGATTACCATACATTTGTGTGGTCTTCAGTGCCTGAAAACACAGCTGGTAGTTCACCTATCCATGCCAGTGTCCAGTTCCAAGGTACAAGGAATACAGAACACCAGGGAGGGAGGGCAGAGCTAATGGGATAGAAGTTTGGAAGTAGGTAGTGGGCTTAGCAACATAAAAGTCTGGTTCAGAAGATGGGGGGGGGAGTACAAATAAATAGAATGAGAAATAGCTCCAGGAAGGCTCAGCAAGCATGTACGCATAAGATTGTCATAGAATCAGAGACTTGGCTTGAGAAGGCATCTTGTCTAGATTTCTACCCAAAGAAGGAAGATTTACTCTTAAGGAACTTGGAAAAGGAAGAGGAAAATTTAGCATCATATATTGAGAAGAAGATAGTCATTAGATTCTGAAAGACCTGGGTTTAAATCTCAGCTGTAAATACAAACTGACCCTGTTCAAATTACTTGAGCTCTCTGTGTGCCTGTTAACTTAGCTGTAAAAGAGGATGCCTGGCCTGTAGAGACACTATATGAGGTTTTTAAATTATATGTATAAAGCTACTAGTACAGTGCCTAGTACCCAGTTGTTGTTGTTAAGTGCCGTCGAGTCACAGGAGTACACACTAGGTACTCAAAAAAAGTAACTCATGTTATTATGATGACAATAGAGACAATATATTTAAGAAATAGAGGAGGGATAAAAATACCTCAGGGAAGAGAAAAGCCTCTTGGAGGTGAGAAGAGGAAGAAACAGTATGTGGAAAATTGAGCAAGGGGCAGTAACTGTGGATGACAGTGCACATTAATGGAAGGGGTTCCTGCCAAGCGCTTGTGAGGGCCTGGCATCGTAACTGGGGTCCTTGATATGTTCTTCTGCCCACAGCCAGCTACCTGCCCAAACCAGGAGCCCAGCTTTACCAGTTCCGATATGTGAACCGCCAGGGCCGGGTGTGTGGACGGAGTCCCCCTTTCCAATTCCGAGAACCAAGACCCATGGATGAACTGGTCACCCTGGAAGAAGCTGATGGTGGCTCTGACATTCTGCTGGTTGTCCCCAAAGCAACTGTGCTACAGGTGAAAACGGAACAACAGAGTTGCTCTTGTACAAGGGAGTGGATGATAGCTTTCCCAGGGGTCTGTTCCTACCTCACCTTCCCCTTCTCTATATCCTTACTGAAGTCCTCGCTGTTACATAAGGTCTTGGATTCAGGAAAGTCTCAATCTAACACAAATGCATGAACATGTAGGGCAAGAAAGCAAGCCGCCCACAAACCAGTATAACTAAAGATTCAAAAGAATTTTTATGAGCCTGCCCTCTCTAAGTGCTATATTCTGTCCTAAGCTGTAGGAGATCCAAACGGATCATCTAGAGAAAGAAGATAAGATCCATTTCCAGGGCAAGTGAGAGCTGAGAGCAGTTAGGCAGGGAGTTACGAGCCACATGTGGTTTTTGAGTTTTTGAAATATGGCTAGTCCAAATTGAAATATGCTGTGTATATAAGATATAGATTTTACAGGCTTAGTGTAAAAAGAAAAGGATATAAATTAATTCAGTTGTTTCTTATTGAAATGTTCTTACTTTATATACATGTTGAAATGACAGTATTTTATATATTGGGTTAGATAAAATACTGATTTCACTTGTTTCTCACTTCTTTTTTTTTTAAGTGGCTCCTTGAAAATGTTAAATACTAGTCATGACATGTATTTCTAGTGGCTCACATAGAGAAGAATTAAATAGGGGAGGCAAATGTTAACAAAGACTTCCTGAAGAAAAGCAAGGGTAAGGGACAGATGGGAAGGAAGTGCACTGCCCAAACAAGAGGTAAGGCCTAAGAAAGGCCCAGAAGAAGAGAATGAGTAGTTTATCTATATTAATCAAACCCTTTCCCTCTGGTACTTAAGTCTAAGAAATAAATGGTATTAGCTCAGCAGTATGGAGAAGAGCTTTATATCTTATATAAGTCAGATATATATATGAGCTCCTTCTCTATATTCAGAAGTTCCGGGGTGATACAAACCATTAACATGCCCAGAGGCACCTCAGAATGACCTGGTAATCTTCCAAAAAAATCAGCCCTTGAAAACCCTATGGAGTACAGTTCTACTCTGACTCACAAGGGTTGCCTTAAAACTGAATCAATACAATGACAACTGGTTTACTTCACAGTCTTACATTTAGTATAACCATTTAAACATCACAACAACCCAGGCTCAGAGCTCACTTTATAGATGGGGACATAAGAAAGTCAGAGAAGTTAAGGAATTTGTTCAGAGTCATGTCACTAACTCATTACTGTGGAACCAACTCCCCAGGGGGTTTTCAGAGGTACATTGCATGGAAGGAGTTGCCCACCTTTCTCCTGAAAAGTGGCTAGTGGATTTGAACCACCAGAGAGGCACCAACTTTTGGGTTTGCAGCACAATTCTGTATAAACTACACCACCAGAGCTCATGTACGTAGTAAAATTGGACTGGAAGTTTGAACTCAAGTCTATCTGACTCCACAACAAACAAGGTAAAATTAAGGCAGGCATCCCTTTGTCTCTGAATAGAGAAAGACTTCTGACAGAGGAAGGATCCCTACAATCACTGGGTAAGGAAGGGGCCAGGCCTAGGGTAGGAGAAAAAGAAAGCAGAGGTCGGTGGGTTCAGATTGCTGTGAGCTGCTGGGTCTGCTTGGAGTTGGGCAGAATTCAGAACAGTAAGTCTCCAATATGCATCTCTTCATAGACCATACTGATATAACTTAGCAACCCAGAAATGCATTTGGGGAGTTATGGGGACAGTACATCACTAGCACACCTTCCTTTTCATCCTACCCTCTCTAGAGCCAACTGGATGAGAGCCAGCAAGAAAGAAATGACCTGATGCAACTGAAGCTGCAGCTAGAGAGGGAAGTGACAGAGCTAAGGAGCCGAGTGCAGGAGCTGGAGACCGCTCTGGCAAGTGCCAGACAGGAGCACGCAGAGCTGATGGAGCAGTACAAGGTGGGAGTTGGGTGAGGCAGGGAACCACTCCTGGCTGTTCAACCAGTATCCAAAGCCAAGACCCGGTAAAGAGGGTAAAAGGGAACTATTCATGGTCTTTTAATATTGTTCTTTTTGTTGTTGTTGTTTTTAACAATAGCATAAAAATTCCATGTTGATTCTACAAATAAAAAATTGCTCAGAAAGGAAATGGACAGTTGTTGATGTTCTATCATGACCTTTCAGGGCTTATTTTGTGCCCTTACTTGGTAAATGGACCACATGAAGCCTTATTAGACCCATATTCCAACCTCTAAGAGTTTGGGGCTTTTTAAACTAATCTTAAAATAGCTTTTTTTTTATTTGTTTGGGTTTTTTTTTAATTTTATACTAATTTATTTACAAAGTTTGCACACATAGTTTTTTCACAAAAGATCCTTCTTATTTCCTTTACCTCCCCCCATTGAATTGTGCCACCCTATGATTACCACCACCACCCGCCTATCTTCACCCCTCTGCTTCCACCCTCCCCCCCTTGGATCCTCATACTCATTCTACAATAATGGTTTTGTACAGTATTTGTCTTTGTGGGACTGAGTTAGTTCACTCAGCATAATGCTCTCCAGTCCCTCCCAAGTTAGCTAGTAGTTGACAAAATCATTGTTCCTGCGTGCTGCATAGTATTCCATTGCATGAATGTACCACAGCTTCTCAGTCCATTTGTTTGTGGTTGGACATCTGGGCTGTTTCCCTGTTCTTGTGATGGTGAATAATGCTACTATGAACATTGATGTACAAGTCTCTGTTTGAACCTCTGTTCTCATTTTCTAAGCAATGGGTTGTATGGAATTTCTAGGTTCAGCTTCCTCAAAAAGTTGAAAATATTATTCTTAATGGAAAGAAACTTGATATAATAAAAGGCGCTTCCCAAACTTATACAGAGGCTCAGAAAATGAGAGTCCTAGAGGAGGACAAAGATGTCCACATTCAGAAGCATGCGAGCGTCCCCTCTGTTTCTTTTCCAATGACAGTGACAAGCTAGGAGTATGGAAGCACCTTCTAAGTCCTTGTTCTGTTGAGCTTTAACTTGTTCTTCTGTGGGAATTGCAATTCCAGGGGCTTTCTCGGTCCCATGGAGAACTCACGGAAGAGAGGGATGTTCTGAGCCAGCAACAGGGAGACCATGTGGCACGGATCCTGGAGCTGGAAGATGACATCCAGACCATCAGTGAGAAAGTGCTGACAAAGGAGGTGGAGCTGGATAGGTGAGGGGAGTCCCCAGCTTGCATCGCCTCACTTGCTATGACTCCTGCACTGCAACATCCTGTTCAGGCATGCAAACCTGCTCTGTTTCACATGATTTCTTTCTCTTCTCAACTCTGGTTATTCCAGTAATTTTAGGATATCGTTTTTTATTAACTCTGTTTCATTTTTGCCAGCGGCAGTCCATATTCCTTACCGTCAGAGAAGGAGTCCCAGTAGCATTCTAGGCTAAGCATTGAGCTGCTGACCAAAAGGTTAGTTGAGACCCAGCAGCTGTGGAAGAGAAAGATGAGGCTGTCCACTCCCATAAAAATTGGCAATTCTGGCCTTCAGTCATGGGAACTGCTGGCCCTCTGTTTTTTGTTTGTTTGTAATTTTTTTCTTTATTTTCTTGTGCGTGTGTACTGTCAAATTGGATCTGACTGGTACAGGAGGAGATTGTCCCTCCTTCTCTAGCAGAGCATCTGGTGGATTCATACTGCATACCTCTGGGATTGCAGTGCAGCTTCTTGCCACTAGACCACCAGAGAGGCCCCCTGTTTTTTATGCTCTTTGTTGTAGCTCATTCTTGGTAGTCTGTCTCATTATTAATAATTATAAAAATACTTTACCCTTGGTCTGCAACATTCTGGCGCCTGAACCTTGGGCCAAGGTGGTGCTTTCTCTCTGGATAAGGTGGTGGTCTTTCTTTCTTTCTCTGTCTTTTTGGGAAGACATCAGGAACTGAAAGGGAGATCGCTCAGGGATGAAGAGAACAAAAAACAAACAAGAATGAATGTTGAAGGAAATCATGCTCGTCTTGATGACCACAAAATTATGATTTAAACAAAAGAGGGGAAATGTGGGGAGCCTAATATAAAATTTAATATTAATAATAAACCAAATGATATATCAGGATATGAGGGAGGCTTAATACAAGCTAGAATTCACCCTGTGGTACTAAGGCATTCCCTAAGAGTCAGCATTGTTCTTAGTTTGTATTTACTGAATCTCTCCCTCCTGAGATAAGCATAAAGTAAACAATAGAGCAAAAGACTTCCCATGATCCCTTGTTTTTGTTTTCTACTCCCTTATGATTTTCCTTTGTTTACCTTCCTTATGATTTTCAATAAATACTCAGAATGGCTTGAGGCCTTCAGTCATGGGAACTGCCAGGCCCCCTGTTTTTTATGCTTCTGTTCTATCTAAAAAACAAAACAAAACAACAACAAAAAAAAAACCCCAAAAACAAAGTGGCAATCTTATAGGATCTGACCATGAGTTTTAGCTGATCCAACAGCATAGGATTTTTGCCTTCAGAAACAATAATAGCTATTTACTGTGCAGCAAAAGTTAAAAAGGAGCTAGGAGTGAAGAGAAGATCTGGAAGAAGAAAATGGGTTTTTTTATAAAAGTCAATACAAGATAATAGAGGATGAGGTTCAGATTTACCATAGGAAAGAATAATATTATGCTCTGTTCTTACTATTTTTTAAGGAACTATTAAAACTGCTAATTCACAAATGTTATGTAATCTTCCCCTCTGAAAAAGGTTTAAGATAATAGAATCTTAGCACTAAGAGGAATGTAGCACCCAGGATATTTAAGAGAAGATAAGCAGAGGTCTTGTTGTTGTTATTAGATGCTGTCCAGTCAGTTATGACTGACAGTGACCCTGTGAACAGCAGGTCTGAACCTGACCCTATCCTGGAACACCCCCACAACCTCGGCCAAGTTCACACCCATTGTGACCGTCGCTCTGTCAGTCCATCTTATTGAGGGACGTCCTCTCCTTTCCTGTCTCTCTACCTTTCCTAAAATGGCTTTTTCCAGAGACTAGCTCCTCTGATAACATTCCCCAAGTAACTAAGACAAAACTTTACCTTCCTTGCCTCTGAGAAGCATTCTGGTTACCTATTTAAAAGTAGCCTATTTAAATAATTCAATAACTGCCATTTTTCAATCTATTGAATAAACCATACTTTACCTTCCTGTAAGGGCCACCCACTGGGCCAGGTTTATACCTCTGAAGTTATATAGAATGTTGTCATTGTTGTGTACCGTCAAGTTGGAACTGACCCATAGCTGACCTGCTGGTGTGTTTTCAGAGGCAGTTAATTGCAGGGGAAGAGATTACCCAGGCTTCTCCCACGGAGCAGCTTGTGAGATTTGAACCACATGCCTTTGGGATTGTAAAGCAGCTTCTTGGCACTAACCCACTAGAGCACCCTCATATAGAATAAGTTTCATTTTTCTGCTAGCCACCTAGGGAGCTGTGGTGGTATAGTTAGTAGGGAGTTGCACTGTAAAGGCAAAAGCAGCACCTTTCTAACAGGTCACAGAACACCAGCTCTGTGTAAGAAAACTGAGCAGTCCCCCTCAGAAACCCTTTGAAGGGTCTTCTGTGAGTCAGTTCTAATTCAATGGCAGTGAGTTGTCTGTGTTCTAAGTCATGGCGTACAAGAGCAGACCTCAAACTGAACAGCTGGAAAAGATTAGAGACTAAATAGGCCAGGAGTAGCAAGCTGTGGTTCACAGGCCAAATCTAGCTTGCCATCTCTGTATGATCCGTGAGCTAAGAATTATTTTCACATTTTAAATTGTTGAAAACAAATATAAAGAAAGATGTTTTATGACATATGAAAATTATCTGAAATTCACGTTTCAGTGTTCATAAAGATTTTTCTGGAAAAGCCACACACTTACTTGCCTATTATCTGACTATTTCTGCACAACAATGGCGAAGTTGAGTAGCTGCCACCGAGATTGCATGACCCAAAAGGCCTGCAGTATTTATTGTCTAGCCATTTATTAGAAAGTTTGCTAAATTCTAAAGTAGACCAGAAGTTGGTCAGTGGTGACTAGATCAATGGTGACTGCCCTTATTAAAACAAACACAACAAAACCCCAAACACTGGATGCCTCCTTATCTCTTGAGTGAAAACACTTAAAAAGCCACCAACAGGACATATCTTAAAAGTATAAACAAGGGGAGCTCTAGTAGTCTAGTGGCAAAGAAGCTGCTCTGGTAGTGTAGTGGCAAAGAAGCTGCATTGCAATCCCAGAGGGGCATGGTTCAAATCCACCAGATGCTCTGCCGGGGAAGGAGGGACAATCTCCTCCTGTACCAGTCAGATCTGATTTGATGGTACACATACACACAAATAATAAATTTTTTTAAAAAAAAAAGTATAAAGAAGAAAAGTTTTGTTTGCATATCATATTCTAGAAGCAATAACCTTAGTTCTTGAAGCTTAAAATGGAAACATTTTAGTTTGGTGTTGTGAGCATCCTGGAACTAAGTAGCATTCTGGGCCTGAAGGAGGCCAGTGGAAGGACTGACAACCACAAGGTAAGATAGAATTCAAGCCCTTTCTTCTTACAGGATTAGAGACACAGTCAAGGTCGTGACTCGGGAACAAAAGAAGCTGCTTGGGCAACTGAAAGAAGTACAAGCAGACAAGGAGCAAAACGAGGTAAGGGCCTCAGTGTTGGCTGGTTTGTCAGTTGTTCATCCAGTGTTTATGGAATTCTTTCTGTGTCCTGACAGCCAAAGATAATGAAAATGTAGTGATTGTACATGCTTTCCTTGGGAAGGTAAGAAATGTACTTAAATCAGTATTCATCAGAGTCAAAATATTAAATACTACAGAGAAGTATAATGAAGTGTTCGAGGGTTCCAGAGGGCCAGGAAGAAGGCACACCTTCTTAGAGAGATTGTGGTTGGTAGGTACCAGCGAGCTGGCTCCAGCTTATGTACAAGAGAATGAAACATTGCTTTTTTTTTCTTTCAGCAGTCCATGCTATAGACAATATTCTCTACCAACACAACAATTCAAAAGAACATTACAAAGGGAGTTCTGGTGGCCTAGTGGCAAGAAGCTGCGCTGCAATGCCAAAGACACACAGTTCAAATCCACCACATGCTCTGCTGGAGGAGGGGCAATCTCCTTCTGTGCCAGTCAGATCTGACTCAGTATACAACAACAACAACAACAACAACAAAAAAAAAACCCAAACAAAACAAAACATCAAAAAAGACTTAAAGGGAACATGAATTAGCCTAGTAATTTAAGCATTTCTATCAAAAGAACCCTTCTTAGATCTTATGGAGGAGCACCATAATGTGTGCCTCATCAAATAAAGGCAATGTTTCATTTCATAAATTGTATTTTAATTGATTTTTTTATAAAATAAAAGCTGTAGCCCTCACTCCATTTTTATATAAGCCTTGGAAGCAGGAGTGGCATCTACTTCCTTAACAACATGCCTCCAGAAACTCTATGAACTGATAAATGTTGATAGTTATAGATAGGCTTCAGGCCTTTTGTTCATAGGGTCACCATAAGTCATGCTCGACTCAAAGGCAGTCACCAACAACAACAATGCAAGACTTCAGAAAAATTTGCTCATGACCCAAAGAGTGGATCTTCTCCAAAAAAATCTTTAGTAAAAGATTAAAGATTTTTAGAATCTAAAGCAACATCAGAGCTTCTAGAATCTAAAGAGACTGCCTTTACTTCTAAGGTCTGTAAAAGCATTGAGGTCATTTTGAAGGAAAGATTTTCAATTACAGTATGGATGACTGTTCCATCAACCTTAAACAATTAGTATATTTTGTTTTGATTATATAGTATTAAGAACAACCTGAGTCACCTATATTACAAGTAGCTACAAATGAGCAATTTTTAAACATCAGACCCTATCCTGCTGCCACCCAGCCCTTTTGTTTCAGCCAGAAGGCCCCAGAAGAGGTGCTGGCTGGGACTCCCTTCCTCATATGCCTGCCACCAGGCCTCAGGCAGGACCCGAGAGAGGTGTCCTGTGCCATGATATTTGTATACTTGGTTGTTTCTATGGTTTGCTATTAGAGATACAACACTTACCTGTCAATTTGCTGAGCTGGTGGAGTGATTTTCATGATGTCACTTATTTTACAGCTTAGATGCATATGTGCTTATTTGTTTAATGTTTCCTCTTATTGGTACGGTACTGTACTTGTCTATCAGTTTTCTGTACTAAGATAAGTTGTGGGTTGTTGTGATGCTGGAAGCTATGCCACCAGTGTTTCACATGTCAGAAGGGTCAACCTTGGTGGACAAGTTTCAACAGAGCTCCCATACCAAGATAGAGTAGGAAGTAGGATTGATGATCCACTTCTGAACAGGCCTTTGAAAACTCTGTGAACAATAGAGATACACACATAGATATAATATTAGAGGTAGAGCCAGATGTAAAGTCACCAAAGGCAAGAAACAGCTGCAGACATCACTAATAACTGGAATGTGTGAAGTATAAATAAAGAAAAATGGTTGTGATGTGCCATCAAGTCCCTCACGACTTAGTGAATCTATATACAATTGTTCTGAACCCTGCTCTATCCTGAGCCAACCTTATTGTCTCTGACACACCTCCCCCATTAACCCAGTCACTAAATCAATCCATCTCATCGAGGTTTCCTCTCTTGCACTGTCCCTTCACCCTCCCAAGTATGATATCCCTCTCCAAGGACTGGTCACTCCTTGCAACATTCCTAAAATATTTCAAATGAACCTTCAGAATCCTTACCTCCAAGAAGTAGCCTGGTTTCCCCCTCTCTAGGATGAACCTATTTGTTCTCCTAGCAATCTACAGTATATTCTTACTCTTCTCCAGTTCAAAGGCATCAATTCTCCTTCTATCATCCTTAGTCACTGTCCAGCTTTCTGATGCATAGCAAATAATTGTGAAGACTATGACCTGGATTAGGTGCACCTTAGTCTCCAGACTGACTTCATTGCTCTGGAGAGATCCCTGATAGCAGACTTTTCCAGATGCAGTTTGACTTTTAATTTCCTGGCTGCTGGTACCAAGAGTGTTGGTTGTGGAGCCAAGCAAGCTAAAACTATTAACAATCATTCTCTTCACCATCTATCATGATGCTGCCAATATGAAAACTAGAAATTGTAAAAAAATGGAACATATAGACATTCTAGGTATTAATGAGCTAAAACAAACTGGATTGGCCACTTTGAATCAGATAATTTTATGATCTACTATGCTGGCAATGGAAAATTAAGGAATAATGATGTTGCATGTATAATAAAAAAAGATTGTTGCAAATCTATCATGAAGTACAGTTTTATGAGTGACAGAATATTATCTATATGTATTTAAGAAAGACTTGTTAATATATCTGTTACCCACATATCCACACCAACAACTAAAGCAAAGATTAAGAGATTGAGAATTTCTACCAACTTTTGCAGTCTGAAATTGACCAAACACAAGGGAACTCTGTTGGCCTAGTGGCAAGAAGCTGCACTGAAATCCAGATGGCCAGTGGTTTAAATCCACTAGATGCTCTGCTGGAAAAGGAAGAGCAGTCTTCTGTGCCTGTCAGATCCTATTTGACAGTACACAACAACAACAAAATTGACCAAACATGCATTCAAAATGCATTAATAAAATTGGTGACTGAAATGCAAAAGTTAGGGGAGGGGGAAAGAGAAGGAATGATAGTTGAAAGTTGTGGACTTGAGGACAGAAATGAGGCTGGACATCAAATGATTTAGTTTTGTATATTTAATTATTTATTCATTGCAAATACCTATTTTCAGAAACACAGACAGTAACTATACTCATAGACTTCACCTGATGGACTGCACAGGCATCAGATTGACCATATATGTGGAAGGAATCATTGGAGAAGCTCAATATCAGCAATAAAAACAAGGCCTGGTGCTGACTGTGGAAAAGACCGTCAATTACTCATGTGCAAGTTCAAATTGAAGAAAATGAAAACAATCCACAAGAACCAAAATACAATCTTGGGTGTATCTCACCAGAATTTAAAAATCATCTTAAGAATAACAGTTTAAAAGTGATATATGATAGGGTATTATGGTTATCACAAGAGTTCAGAATTAAGGTTGCATAGTGGAGTATACTCGGGGTAGGAATTTTTCTTTTACTTTTCAAAGAGAGAAGCAAACTGGGGTGGGGGAGGGCTGGGCAGTTAGAAAAGTGCAACAATGAATGGATGAAAATCCAAAATCTCTGTAAATGTTCATTAAAATTAAGTTTTTTTTAAAAAAAGGAAAAAAGTAATCTCAAGAATAGGTTTGTGGTATTGAGCAATAATGATTGAAGACTAGATGACATCAATGATACCATCCATGAAGAAAGCAGAAGGTCATTACAAAGACACAGGAAGAAAAGGCCAAAATGAATGTCAGAAGAGACACTGAAAATTTCACTACTGTGTTAAGAAGCCAAAACAAAAGGAAGAGATGCAGAAGTAAAAGAGACGAACAGAAGATTTCAAAGGGCAGCTCTAGAAGACAACGCAAAATATTAAAAAGGAATGTGCAGAGATCTACTACTGGAGAATAAAAATGGTAGAACTCACTTAGCATTTCTCAAATTGAAAGAATTGAAAAAGAAATTTGAGCCTTGAATTGCAAAACTGAGAGACACTGTGAGAAACATCTTGAATGATCCAAGAATCATCAAAAGAAGATAGAGGGAATACACAGAGTCACTGTACAAGAAATAATTGCTAGACACTGAAATATTTCAGAAATAGCATATAATAACGAGTCAGTAATGAGGGAAGAAGTTCAAGCTGCAGTAAAGGCATTGGCAAAAAATAAGGCCCCAAGAATTGATGAGATACCAATTTACATGTTTCAACTAACAGATGCAGCCCTGGATGCACTCACCAGTCTATGCCAGGAAATTTGGAAGATAGATAACCTGGCCAACTGACTAGAAGAAATCTGGAATATCATCCAAAACCAGCTAGAACAGAACATTGACAGAGAATTGCTAGAAATTCAAGCTGTGTTTAAAAGAAACCGTGTGTGAGGGACATCTTTGTTGGTGTCAGATGGATCCTGGCTGACAGCAGAGACTACCACAAGAATGTCTATTTTTGTTTTATTGACTATGCAAAGCCACTTGACTGTGTGGATCATAACAGACTTTGACTAATACTTAGAAGAATGGGAGTTCCAGAATGCTAATATAAAACCTATACTTAGACCAAAAAGCTGTTGTCCAAATAGAGGAAGGGAACACTGCATGATTCAAAATCAAGAAAATCAAGGAATTTCAAAAAATCAAATTTCAAAGTCAAGGTTGCATCCTTTCTTTATACCTATTCAATCTGTATGCTGAGCAAAACATTTGGGAAGCTGAACTCTGTGATGAAGAATGTGGCATCAGTATTGGAGGAAGACTCATCAACAGCCAGTGTTGTGCAGATGATACAACTTTGCTTGCTGAAAGTAAGGAGGACTTGCTGCAGAAGTTCAAGGACTACATTCTTTAATATAGCTTAGATCACCACATCAAGAAAACACATGTCATCCCGAAGGCACGAGGTTTGAATCCACCAGGTACTCTGCTGGAGAAGGAGCAGAAATCCCCTCCTGTGCCAGTTAGATCCTATTCAACAGCACACAAAAAAGTAAAACAACAAAAAAAAAAAAGAAAAGAAAAGAAAACAAATGTCCTCATCACTGGGCCAATAGGCAATATCATGATAGATGGAGAAAAGATTGAAATTGTCAACAATTTAATCTTACTTGGCTCCACAATCAACACCTTTTGTACCAGCAGTCAGGAGATATATAAGATTTGTAAAGTTGGCTATCAGGACCTCTCCAAAGTATTGAAGAGTATTGATGTAAATTTAAAGACTAAGATGTTCCAGATTCAAGTGATGGTCTTTCCAGTTACCTGCTATGCATCTGAGAGCTAGACAGTGAATAAGAATGACAGAAGAAGAATCAATGTCTTTCAGTTGTGATGTTGGAAAAGAGTACTGAATATCCCACGGACTGCCAAAAGAACGAACAGATATCTCTTGGAGAAAGGGAAACTAGAATGCTTCTTGGAAGCAAGGATTGTGAACCTTCATCTCACATACTTTGGATAAGTTGTTAGGAGAGGCAATTCCTTGAAATACTTGCTATGTATCAGAGAGCTGAACAGTAAATGATAACAGAAGAAGCATGAATGCCTTTGAGTTGTGGTGTTAGAGAAGAATATTGAACATATCAGTGTTTGAACTACCAAGAGAAGAACTAGTCCTTGGAGAATCACATCACTCTGGAAGGGTGGAGGGATAGTGCAGGGGAGGAAGACTCTGGCTGAGATGGTTTGACAAACTGACTAGGATAATGGGGGCAGGTGTGTCAGAGACAGTAGGATTCACTGAGAATAGGCCAGGGTTGAGAGCTATTGTGCATAGGTTTGCTATAAGTCACAAGCGACTCAATGGCACATAACAACCACAATAACATTCTTAAATTCTGTAGAAAATACAATAGAAACTACATTCTGAGGTTTTCACAGAATTAATAACCTATAAGTACATGTTGATTATTGGTGATTTCTAGCTTATAAATTTGTGATTTTGTGTATATTTGAAACATAATTTTGAGTAATTTAGAAGAAATTGAAATCAAATATTTGCTAGACCCCTAAGTTACATTTTTGGAACTCTAAACTTCTATGGAAGATAGTTTCCACAGAACAAAAAGAAAGTGCTTGAGTAGAGAAAAGTGTGAAGGAAGAACAGGGAGAGACACATCCAGAAAAGCTTAGAATCTAGAATACTTGAAGACTATTGAATGTGTGAGCCATGGTGGCACAGTAGTTAACTACTTAGCTGCTAACTGAAAGATTGGTTATTCAAGCCCACCAGGAAGTCCATGGAATAAAAATGTGGTCTGCTCTGTAAAACTTATCAATCAAAAATAGCCATTACCATCTAATTGATTCCAACTCATAGGGATCCTCCATCAGGTTTCCAGAACTATAAATCTCAGTGAGTAGAGACTACTTCTATTTCTTCCATAGAGAAACTAATGGATTTGAACCAGCAGCCTTTTGACTAGCAACTTAGCATGTTAAGTTAACATGGTGGAGGGTGGAGATGCAATAGTCTCTTCTGTGGGGGCTGCTAGAGAGAGACCAGAGTCAAGCATGGAACCAACGTCTCCAGCCTGAGTGACTTGGACAGAAAGGCTCATAAGGACAAATACTGCTTAGGACCATTATTGTAAAAATAGAAGGATAACTGGTAAAACATGTACATGAACTCAAGGTGGGGGGGGGAGTGAAAAGATGAGGATAGGTAGGGGTGAAACCACTGGGCTGCACAGTTTGGTTGGGATAGAGGGGAGAAGCAAATGGGAAGGATCCAGGTGAAAAGACAGGGTAATGATGGGCAAGGTCCAATGGTAATTTATTTTATAAAGCACAATGTAAGGGAATGATTGTATGGAACACAATGTGAATGAAGAATAGTGTGAAACACAATGTATATAAACTTTGTGAGCAAACCGATCTAAAAAAATAAAATAAAAAGAAAAAAAATGCAAGTAGGAAAGACTGTGATGGGGTAAAGGTAGATTCTGACTTCATACAGAGATGTGCTGAGTTTGAGCAGCCTGTAAGGACATCCAGACTGTTTTGACCTAAGAGGAGGCTTGCAGAAATAGAAATGGGACACAGGATACCTAGACTCATATAAGACCATAGGCTTTGAAACTAGATACCTCATTTCAGAAGTTGTTGACACTATGTTCAGGATTGAGTCCTTTGGAACCAAGAACCAAGAAGAACTGACAAGGGTTGAATTCTTGCATTTGTGTTCAAATCTGAGAAGTAGAATCTTGACCTCTCACATTACCTACCCACCATCTCCTCACCTCTCCACCGCTATCAGGCTGAGCTTCACATGGCAGAACAGGAGAACCATCGCTTGAAATTGGAGCTGCAGGAGGCCAAGGGCCAACAGGAGGAGCAGCATGTGCAGGCCCAGCGACTAAAGGACCAGGTGGCCCAGATGAAGGATACCCTAGGCCAGGTCCGGCAGAGGGTGGTAAGTGGAGGCCCTTAGTCAACAGGAACCAGGAGCTAGTTGTAGAAAACCGTGTTGTTGTGTACCATAGAGTCGTGACCCATAGCTGACCTGTCTACAGGTTTTCAGAGGCAGTTAATGCACAAAGCATTCTCCCACAGAGCAGCTGGTGGCCTTGAACCATGTGCCTTCATGATTGCAGTGCAGCTTCTTGTCACTAGGCCACGAGAGCTCCCTAGAAAAGCCTACATGGCCAAAAGAAAGGGGAAAGGAAACACATGACTAAATATTAAACAACAACCCTGAATTCTGAATGTGGTGATGGGGTAAAGGGTGGAAACCTGGTAGAAGAGGGACCCTGATTGCCTTCTTGGTTGACTTAAGTGTTCCCTGGGAGCCATGATCTCTTCCTCTTCCTTTCTCCTGAGGCTGAGTTGGAGCCCTTAAAGGAGCAGCTTCGAGGAGCCCAGGAGCTTGCAGCTTCAAGCCAGCAGAAAGCAGCCCTTCTTGGGGAGGAGTTGGCCAGCGCAGCAGGAGCCAGGGACCGGACCATTGCTGAGCTACACCGAAGCCACCTGGAAATGGCTGAAGTCAGCGGCAGGCTGGCTGAACTCAGTCTGCACTTAAAGGAGGAAAAAAGCCAGTGGAGCAAGGAGAGGGCAGGGCTGCTACAGAGTGTGGAGGTAGAGGGATGAGGGGGCTGGTAGTGAACAATCACTGATCCTGTATCTATGAGGACTCCTATATGTGCTCACATACTGTGGGAGGAGGAAAGGGAGGTTACAAACCTTGAAAGACTTGGGGTGGACAGAGCAATGAGAGAGTTATCATTCCATTTTCCAGTCACTACCTATTCCTAACCAAAGTATCCTAATCCTTATCTCCAAAGCCTCTTTCTTGGTTGTCTTTTTTTATTTAGAAACATTTACTAAACATGTCATAATACCTTTCCTGACCTTTAGTCAGGGTGAATATTGAATGAAGAAAGCAAGAAGGAGAAACTAGTTGAAAAATAATTCAATACATGCCAGGGGCACCCCCTTTTCTTCATTATCACCCCCCTGTTTTCCTTTTTGGCCAACTCTCAGGCAGAGAAGGACAAGATCTTAAAGCTGAGCGCAGAGATCCTTCGACTGGAGAAAGCAGTTCAGGAGGAGAGGACCCAGAATCAAGTGCTAAAGACCGAACTGACCCGGGAAAAGGATTCTAGCCTGGTGAGACTCCCACCCACAAGTCCTGGTCCCCTGGCTTCCTCACACCATTTTGAATATGAACTTAGGTGAGTTAGTTGTTGGGTTGTGTCCTCAGTAGCTAAAACTTGGCATGCGTCTGTATCTTCTCAGGACACACATCCTGAGCTTAGAGGCATGGCTTAGAACTATAGACTGCCACTTTTGTATGACCAGGAACTCTGTACCCTAGCCATGATGTTATCTGTCATCCAGGACCACACTCTAGAGTCACGGGCCGGATCTCAGACTCATGTAAAAAGAATGGTGCCTTTGTCAGAGCAGGAGAGAAGCAAAGCCATGGAGAGACAGATTCCAGATTGTTGGGTCCCAGAGTTCAGGTTCTGGGAAACACATTCTAGATTCCAGATTCCATGTGGCCCTTTTTTCTCAGGTACAGTTGTCAGAGAGTAAGCGGGAACTGACAGAGCTGCGGTCAGCCCTGCGTGTGTTCCAGAAGGAAAAGGAGCAGCTGCAGGAGGAAAAGCAGGTGAGAATCCATAACTCAGCCCCAATAGATGCCAGTCGTTAGGACTTGAGAGCTAAAAATGTTTTCTACCTGTCAGCTCTTAGTTTAGAAACTGGAGTCTCTAGGAAGACCCAGAGGCTAAAAATGGGCTATGACTCCTTTTATTAGCTGACTAGAAAGCAGGAGAAAGTAGATAAGGAAGAAAGGGGTACAGGAAATGAAGAGGGGCTCCTGGGAAGCAGAGAACATATAAATTGCCCACTCTTTTCTGAATGCATCTAACCCTGAGGAACTAAGACTTCATCTCAGATGTAAGGAAAGATTCTGCCAGCAGCAAGATTGGCATCTTGCGGCCTCTGCACCCACCTCTTCCCAACTTCAGGAACTACTAGAATACATGAGAAAGCTGGAAGCCCGTCTGGAGAAGGTGGCAGATGAGAAGTGGAATGAAGATGCTGCCACAGAGGATGAAGAAGCTGCGGGCGGACTGAGTCTGTACACCTCTAAATCTTGTGATTCCCCTTCCCCATGCTCTGTTCTTATTGGAAAAAGCTCTATGTTACCCCTCTGGGAGTTGCCACTGCCTTCTATGTGTTTTATCTCCCCCCCCCCCGCCCCAGACCCTAGCCCTGTTTAATTTAACAAATCCCCTCACCCAGAGAAGACTTTTACCCTGCCCATCCGTGCCCCTCACAACACATCCTTCTCTGCCTTCTTCCCTCACCTACAGGCTGCCCAGCTGCTCTGACGGACTCAGAGGACGAATCCCCAGAAGACATGAGGCTCCCACCATATGGCCTTTGTGAGCATGGAGACCCAGTCTCCTCTCCATCTGGGCCCCGAGAGGCTTCTCCCCTAGTTATCATCAGCCAGCCAACACCCATTGCTCCTCACCTCTCAGGTCCCGCTGAGGACAGTAGCTCTGACTCGGTGAGCAGTAAAAGAACCTAAAAGGAGAGGGTAGGCTCCTAGGCCCAGACCCAGCTATTCTAGCCTCCAGAGTAGAAAATCTTAGCCCTGTAAAGATTTCTGTTTTTATTTAGAAGAGTGGAAGCAAGCCAGTGTCCAGCCTCTTTTTAAGGTCACTCAGTATGCACCATCCCCAAACCCACTCCAACCCAGTAGCTTCCCTACTTTCAATCCTAGCTGTCTCACATTTGTTATCTTCTTACCCACTAGTTCTATTAAAACATCTTCTATTAAAAGTCCTCTTATTTGTCCCAATGTGCTACCCCCTCTCTCAACATGGATCCATATCCTAAAACCAGCCCTGTCTCTTTGGTGCCCAGGAAGCCGAAGATGAGAAGTCAGTCCTCATGGCAGCCGTGCAAAATGGGGGTGAGGAAGCCAACCTGCTGCTTCCTGAGCTGGGCAGTGCCTTCTATGACATGGCCAGGTGAGTGCCAAGTGAGGAAGACAGGGAGAGGGAGGTGGGAGGATGCCAGTGAAAAAGGACGTTCTTGTGAACAGTCACACACCTTTCCTCCAGTATCCCCTTTCTTGGCCTCATCCAGTCAAGAATGGAGTTAGGACATGTGGTTGATGGAAAATAAGCCATCACTCAAATCCTAGGTGCCTTCAAACTAACCCTTCCCCCATATCATCAGTATGCATGGGCTGCTCGGAGGCTGTGCCTTGAATTGGCTTCTGTGTTGTTCTAGCACCATCTTCCGTGGAGTCCAAATTGCCCTGCATACCCTCTCTCCTGCCCCTTCCCCTTCCCCAACTACCAGGTAGGTACCTAGGCTCAAGGGAGAAAGGGAGGTGACTAAGGTCCCCAGGACTAGGGTGGGAGAGAAGACTAGGATCCAGCCTCCCTCTGGCTACTCCTGAGATGCTGTCCCTCTTCCTTGACTTCCCTGGGGACCCTTTGGAAGGTAAAGGGATTCAGGTACCAGCCTGCCCCCTCTGGCCTTTACTTTTCTTCTCTGGGTCTGAAGGGGAGGGAGCGGGAAGACAGTCTGTCATCTGGAGCCCAGCTTTGTGTGGGTCTGAGATGGACTCCAGGCAGGGCGGGGGTGATGCTGACATCCTTCTCAGGCTGGAACAGGAAGATGAAGGACGATGTCAGACTCATTTTCAGCCTCATTAGGCAGCAGACGGAGATGGAGGGAGGAGAGCAGAGAGTTGGGGGATGGGCTCTGCACTACAGAGACCAGCAGGAACTAAACAGAGGACAAGGAGGAGCCAGGTACAGAGAACAGGCTAGGAGCAAAAAGGGCCAGAGTACTTTGTCAGGAACAAGATCATGGGGATCCCAGGGACATGGGCCTCTCTTCCTGAGTCTGTAAGTCACCTCTAAGAGCAGGGAGCACATTGACCCTCTCCTTGTCCCCTCCATCTCTCTCCAGTGGCTTTGCAGTGAGTTCTCTGTCAGAGACCAGCACTGGGGGCCCTGCCATCCCCTCATGGAAGGAATGTCCTATCTGTAAGGAGCGCTTCCCTGCTGAGAATGACAAGGATGCCCTGGAGGACCACATGGATGGACACTTCTTTTTCAGCACCCAGGACCCTTTTACCTTTGAATGATCTTTTCTTTTCCTAGAACATACACATACACAAACACACACAAACACACACACACTCACACACTCACACTCACACTCCTGCACAGATACACACCTAGGTCTCATGCCTATTTTCCATCACACTGGGTTTCATAAGAACTGTTCCCTAGTGTGCCCTATCTCACCCCAAGTTCTCTTACATCATCCTCTCCCACCTGGCTCTTTTATCCTAGTCAAGGGTCCTTGTTGGAAGCAGTTGCTGAATTTACTCCTGAAAACGGTTTTGGAGGATGAGGGCAGCCTTTGCCTGTGGAAATAGAATCATCCACTTCTAGCCCTGGCTGCCTCTGTCACTCTCACCAGCCACCAGACCACGAGGGCATACATACTCACACATATGCTCACATACACTCCCCTTTGATGCCCCAAAGCCAATTCCTGGGGCACCCCATGCTCTCTTATTTGGGGTTTATGTTTGTTTACCGAGTGTTCTCTGAGGCCTGCATAGAGGCAGCAGCATGAACATGATGACCTCTTCAGGTTTCCTTCAGTTCTAGGCTTCATTAGTTCCCCTTGCATTCTCACCCCAGCCTTTTCCATAGCATTAGATACTAAGTTTGGAAGTTCCTTTTGTATTTTTGAGGTTTCCTGTACTTTCTCTTCTGCCACTCCTCCTGGCATCCTCACATGGAAAGAAATAATGCATTTGTGCCTTCTGTGAGGGTTGGGGGAGCAAGTAGTCACATTTCCCAATCCTTCCTCCCTTTTCAGGTCCCCCCACAGCAATAAGAGCTTCCTTTCTCTTATCCCTCCCTGCTACCTGTAGTATGGACAGATATATTTATATGACATGTATAACTGTTCTAATAAAATGTGTTCTTATCATGAGTGTGACTAGAGCACAGGGGACTTGCCCCTCTGGCTCCCAGACCCTGGTAGAGGAGGGAGGAGGGCCATCTTGTGGGAGAATGCTGGGCAGTGATTTTTCTGATTGTGCCTCTTGGTGTGATAGCTACCAGTGGGAAGAGGAGAAGAGGTGGGGGACCTTTGTCTTAGGGAATGGTCTGGATTGGGGAATTCTGTAGTGGTGAAGGGCAAAAACTGAAGGTTGTATATCAGCTCTACTTAAAGCCCAGTCTCAGGGGTCTAGAGGCAGGGTGGGAACCAGGCTACAGAGTGTGTCCAGTGGAAGGCCTTCACCTGCCCTAGTCACCATCACTGGACCTTGAGCCAAACAACAGGCAGTCCTCTTGTCAAGAGTATACACCTTAGAGTATACACTTAATAAAAAATGCTCTAAGCCCTCTACCTCTAAAGACTGATATTCCTCCTTCCCTGTTTCCCTCTCTCCTATTGCACACTCATCCACTCTGACTCTGCAGTCACAAAAGCACATTCATCCATGCTAACCAGCTTTACAAGCTAGAGAGACACGTACACCGTATTGTAAAGTATTTATTAAAGACCTCCATGCTCACCAGGGTTGTCAGCGATGCCCTGCATAAGCTCATGCCTACAGCCCCCTTGTTCCCTATTCAGTAGCTCCCTTATCAGCCACTCTCCATTCTCTTCAGAGTCCCTGTGTGGGCCACCTCTTCCATTTCCTCCATCCACCTGAATCCCTCCTGTCTACCCCCCTTCCAGCTCCACCTGGATGACATCTTACATCCTTCCTTCTTTCACTCACGTCTCTGTCTCCTAGCAACCCCATCTCATTCCCTGAATCCCTTCCAAGGAAATTAGAGATAATGGATCTCTCCTCTCTCCATCTCAACCCCTCTTTATTGATCCTCCTTTAATGAAAGTTAATTATAACAATGATTTAATTAATAGAATCCCTCTCTTCCTTTATTGCTTCCCGTATTAAGACTATTAATAAATACGAGCTGGGCTGACAGAGGCATCCATCACCCGCCTGGGATTCCCCCCATCCCTCCTTTTTCCCACCCCCTTCCCCCTCCCTCTTTTGGCCTATAAACTTGCTGGGGTAGTGGGGGTTAATCAGAGAGGAATTATGAGCCAACATCCCCAGCAGGAGGTGCATTTAATGAAATCAGTTCTGATTTATGTCTGGGGGAGGTTGAGGAGGAAAGAATCTGGAACCCAGGCATCCTGATTTCCAGAATAATGTTCCCCTAATCCAAAAAGGGAAGGGTGTTAAGCTAAAACAAGGATCTAGGCCCCCTACTTCTACCCCCACAGGCCCTGCCAAGCCTCACATACCCCCACAAAAACCACATGGGTTGATGCACAAGGCCATTGACAGAGAGGCTGCCAGTCTATAGAGTGCTTTTGAGGATGGCAGTGTAGATTTTGTTCTCTCTCTCCTGCAAAACTTTACACAAATCCCTCCTGCCTTCTTCCTGTCTAACCCTGTCAGTTTCACCTTCCAAACCTGTTCCACACTCTACTATCCATAAAGATCTCTCATCTCTAAGCAGACCCTTCAACCCTGATAATTAGAATTCCCAACCTACTTAATCCTTTGTATGTGTGTGCAGTCTGTGTTTGCAGACTGGGCGCTCCCCAGAAGTTTGGAACTGTTTGTGTTCCTCATGGTTTTCCTCTCCCTGTGGCTGTGACCAGGAAGCTCTGATGCCTCATTCATAGGGCATTGCACTACTACCCCAAAGGTGGCTCTTCTCTGGAGGTTCAAATCCACTAACAACTTTAAAGGAGAAAAATGCTCCATTTCCTCACGTGTGATTTACCACCTCAGAAACCCACTGGGGGGTCTGCTGTGAGTTGGTTCCTACCTGACCACAATTGAATGAGTGAGTAGGGGTGACGAGGGGAACTCTGGTAACGTAGTTGGTGGCAAGTTGGCATTGCTAATTCAAAGGCTCATCTCTAGCAGTTTGGAGTTGCACCCATCAGCATCTCTGCAAAGAAAAATGGGCAATCTCTTCCCCTTGTAATTTACAGCCTTGGAAACTCAGTGGAGAGTCTCTGTGAGTCAGAACCAGCTTGATGGCAGTTAGTTTTTGTTTTAGTAGATTCAGCCAAAAAAGATCTGGGGGTGATGTCAGTAGGGAGTTGTGCTGCAAACTCAAAGGTAGCGCCTCTCTGACTTTTCTACGCCACCAGGGGCTCCTTGGAGAAAGGTGAGCCATCTCCTATGTGATTTAAACCCAGTAAAGAGTCAGCTATGATTCAGTTCTAACAGCAATAAGAGGTATGGCCAAGGGGGCCTGGTAATGTAGCAGTTAAGATCGCTTGCTGCTAGCCTTAGGTTGGTGGTTCAAAACCACCACTCAGTCCTTGGAAGAAAGATAAGAAGTCTTATTTCTATAAATATTTATAGCTTTAGAAACCCTTTGGGGAAGTTCTGCGCTATTCTGTAGCTCCTAACTCATTGTCTTTGAGTTGGAATGAGTCATAGCTAACCCTAGGAGTTTGAGTCTCTGAGGTGGTAAATCCCACAGGAGGAAATTACCTATCTTTCTCCTGCAGAGTAGCTGGATATATTTGAACTCCTGGAGAAGTGCACCCTTTTGGTTAAGAGGACAACTCCTCCATTCACTAGTGCTCTCAGTGGAGTCACAGTAAGTCAGAATTGACTAAGTGGCAGTGAGGGGGTAAGGTAGGTATGGCCCAGGCAAGGCTGCTCACCTGAAGCACAGGTAAGGGCAATTGGCTTCATAGGTAGAGAAGTCAAATAGCTGGGTTCCAATTCTAGTCTGGCTCTTACTCAGTATTTGGCTGTCTGCTTTTTCATTTTTAATATCCATGCAGAAGTTGATAGACCTGAATGGACTTGAGATCTTAGGGTGAAAAGAAAACCTAAACTGAATAGCAGCAAATGGAAAATCATGTGTTAGGATTTGATGATAGATGTAGAATGAATCCAGCCACACTATTCCCTGTTTACAAAGCCTAAATACCTGCGGGAGCATCAAGTTAGGATGGTGATCAAGGTCCTTAAAATCTGTTCTCAATTTGCTTTTCCATTTCTCATCCTACTCGGAAATGTGTATTTTAATTTTACAGAAACAATCCATAGAAAAAGGCACTCACAATACACTGCTTTTACAAGTCTCCTCCTTGAAGCCTTTCTTGAATTATCTCAAGCAAAGCTAATCTCCTAAAATATCATAAACAACACTTTCTAAAAACACACTACATCATGTTTATAAATTTTTCTTCTTTCTAGAACTTGAGACCAGAGTGTCTTTATACATCTCTGTGTCCCTGAAGTCTAGTGTAAAGATTGGCACATAGGTCCTATTTTTTAAATTTTTTATATAAATATTTTATACATGGAAAAGTATGTTTATCTATATATACACAAACACATACGGAAAATAATAAATACCACTGGAGTTACTATCTTTTAAAGAACTATATGCTGTTGATGTGCCCTGTGTAACCTTAAAGAGCAAAACATCATGTGAGGTGGAAGGGAAATAATGCATCCATTAATTTAAAACATTTAAGTGTTCTTTGTGGGTTAGGTTCTGGGATTAGAGGTGGAATAGCCAAAAACTCTGCCCTCAAAATGTTCATAATCAACATAAACCAACAAATTAAAAAAAAGTTTGACAAATGTTATTTTAGAGGTCTGTACAAGGTGGTATGGGGGAGGAGACAAAACTGGATGAGACAGAAAGCTTTCCAGCTGTCCCACATGTGACAGTATGAGAGCTGAGTCTTTTTAAACTTTTTATTGTATCTGAGTGAATGTTAGCAGAGAAAATTGATTTCACACTCAGCAATGACATACACTTTGTATTATAACTTGTATAGCAAGCAACCCCCACAATGTAACAGCACTTGTACCAATTCTTTCCTATGTTTTCTGTTTCCATTCAACCTTCTTTCCTATCCAGTCCTTTCTGCTGAGTCTTTCTATCTGGGAAAATTCCACCTTTTTTGTTTTGTGTGGTTGATTGTCCGAAGCATGCCTTCTTGGTGTTCCTGATCAGCTTCTAGATTTTTCTGTTGTTTCCCTGGAAGTTGAGTCAAAATGGTGGTTTCAGTTACAGGCTTGAAGAGTGACAGTGAGCCAGAGTACTGGGAGTTGGGCTAATCTCTATCAGGCCAGTAACCCTGTTTTGTCCTTTTTACTTGTAAAGAATTTTCATTTTGTCTCATATTTTTCTCCTCTTCTATCAGGGATCTTCTATTGTGATTCCTATCAAGTGATCAGAAATAGTAATTAAGTACCATCTAGTTCTTCTGGTCTCAAA